AATGCAGAATTTTTCTTAACTATTGCAGTGGGGTCTTTTATTGTCTAGGTGCAAAAATACAAAAGTTATACTCATGTAATCCTCCGAGCCGGCTTGCTCTTAGTGCGGTCCCTGGAGCTTCTCCCCCCCTCCACTCTAGTGGTCTAAGGTCCCTTAAAGCAGTGGTTCTCAACCTGTGTAACCTCAGAGCACACATTTGTCCTTGGTCGATAAGTCAGGACCCAAGTCGCACTGCAATGGAACGCACGGCATTGCAGTACAGCGTGTTCCGTTACTGGTGATTGAACTGTGGGCAGAAGGTGCGTTTGGGATGCCAGTCAAATAAATGGCAACACAATGCACCTCTCACACCGGAAAGCAGAGTAGGTGCGATTGTGTGGTACAGTGCGGTAATGGCACAGGACTGTTTGATTACTGCGCTGTACTGGTGTAAACGGGCCCTCAAAAACACTGAGACACACACAGCCAAGATCCACCCAGTCTCCCTTCCTTACTAGAACTGGAGTGGATCCTCAGCCTGGGGTCCAGCATGGGTTGCTGTGCTGTGACGGAGCTCCATCCATGTGCATTGCTTGTACAACTCCCTTGCACTCCCGGTAGAGGTGGCGGGAGCCAGATGGTGACATCACTCCGGTCCAGGCACTTTTTACAGGATATGTGAGGGAGCTGTAATGCAAGTATGGATGGAGCTCCCTCGAGGCCATAGCTCCAGCCCACCTCACCTCAAGCTGACACTCGGCATATTTTGAATGGCTCCTTGGTGCAAGAACTGACAGTGCTGTGCTAGGGGGGACTGAGAGTGTTTAGCGCGTGCGTGTGGAATTATCGTTTTTCAGCATGCACGCGCTAAACATTAAAAATAATCCTTTCCAATGTGTGTTGTTCACACTAGGGCGACATCTGCACGGTACGAAAAACATGCGTCCCGCAAAAAAGTCTAAACGCAATTTTCTGGGCGAATTCCGCGCATTCCGGCTTTAGTGAAAGCTGCAAACGCGTGGAATCCGTGTGTATGTTAAAGTTTGCGCATTTTCGTGCCACGCAGAAAACGCTACTGCTATGTGTGAATGGAGCCTTACGGTGCCCATACACCTTGCAATCATCAGGCGAACCGTCGTACGATTTTCCTATGGCGGCCGCATCCTTCCCCGGCCATCGCACAGTTCAATTAGCGGTCTTTACCAGAAATCACCTGGACGAATTTCGTTCATTGACCGCATTTTCGCTTGCGCATGAGCAGTGTTAATTGTACAAAATTTGACGTACTGAAACGCCACCAACCTTGCGAGAATCGTACGATCAACCAAAGTTTTCTAGCATGCTGGAAAGACGAACGTTGTACGATTGTACGGTATTTGCGGTTGTAGACTCCCGATCAACCGTACAAATATCGGACGAAAACGCATTCGCAAACTAAATTCAGCCGATATTCGTAAGGTGTACGGGCTTCTTAAGAAGTAGTCACCGTTTGGGTATCCAGGCAGCTGCAGGAGCTGCTTTTGCTACATACAATAAGCAGAAGTTGGAGCAATTGATAAAAAGAACTTTATATGTAATATGCCGATAAGAACATTCTTGGATATCTGATAAGTGGCTGCTCAATGTTCCTGCACTGCTGGCGACAATTTAGCAATTAGATGTTGATAACGTTTCACATTCCTTTATTGTCTCATTGATCGGATCCATAACACGCAGTAATGACCTCGGATCCATCATTTACGCTCTATAATAAGGAAAACAATTGTAGCAACTTTATGACGATGGCGAAATACCCAAACAAAACATTTCTTCTCTGAAATTGTAAAGTCGTTAATGTGTTCAGGAAGAGAATTGTGAAATTCATGTTTTATGTCTCTGATCTGTCTCTGAAGAAGGTAATCTCAGCCGACTGCAAAGTGGGAGCGTCTGATTTCAATATCACCACCTGTGCAGTCTCGGGGTGGTATTAAAGCAGAACTATGAGGGGAGTGATTTACACTCATCCTCATAGTTAGAGCTGACCTGTGACAAAGAAGCTGTCACAGGTCGGCTCTATCGATCGGGAAGTGAGCAGAAACATGACGCTGATCCGCTCACTTCTCGATCGTCTCCCTGCAGAGACTGTCAGCTCCCCACAGGGATTCCCCCCCTCCGATCCTCCAGCGCTGACTGGCGGAACGGATGGGGAGGGGCGAGTACAGCTGGGTCTGCCTCTAGATAGGCAGGGCCAGCTGTCACTCATGCAGCTGGGTGGATCTCGACAGTAATGTCAGGATCCATCCCGGCTGCAGCGCTCACAGGATATACTGAGCTTTGGGTCACGGGAGGACGCCAGTATATGTCCTCCCGTGACCCTAAATAGAACTATGGGGGGAAAATGCTTACCCCATAGTTCTCTTTTAAGTAAAAGGAAGAGCCCCTCTACCCTTTACACAAGAAAGAGCTCTAGAAAATATTTCCACAAATGTGAACCCATTCTCGACCACAATCTCTAGATTAACTGTCTAAAGGCACCCATACACAGTGGCGTCACAAGGGGGGGTGCAGCCCGCACCTGAGTGACACCATTGGAAGGTGACACCAAAATGACTGACAGTCATTTTGGTGTCACCCCCTCTGAAAAGTCAGGCACTCTGTCATGGACCGAGACCACGACAGGAGGGGACCCGGCGGGATGAGGTATGCCGCCGGGTCCCCTCCTCTCTCTGCCGGCGTCCATCACCAAGATGGCAGCCAGCAGGCATCAATCAGGTGGTCGCACATGAACGATGATAACACAGCGGGGTCTCACCCGGTCTAGAAAACGGCTTGGAAGCATTTATATCTACTGCAGGAACCCCTCATTTATGGAAAACCTTGACCAAGTACTTGCTGTTCAGGCACCATTATTTGAGATCTGGAAAGGTCTGAATGAGATAATCTTACTAAAGATTGAGACAGAAAAAAAAAAAAAGGAATGTCTTTAGTTGAATGAGAATATTTTAATTAGCTAAAATAAGGGGCTGTCAATAGGGGTCTCATGTGAAATAGTTTCCAATCCTTCTCTGTGAAGAACAAACACTGAATGATCAGAACTGGATGCTTGTACATTACTGGGGACATAGTATTCAGATATTGGGTGCCCAGTTATGAATGGACAGGAAGTTCTCTACATCACTTACTGTTCATTCATGATTGTGGACACAGTATCTATTCACTATCTCTTTGATTTATAAATGAAAGGGAAGCCTCTGTACCGAGAGCTTCTGGTACACAGAGTGCTGGGGCTGCAGAAAGATATTCAAAAGGACTCTGTGTCAACCCCCCTTAATAAAAAATAATAATAATTTTGCGTTTTGGCCTGACAAATTCTGGTGGGGTAGTTTCATTGTGGTGCCATTCCTTCAAATGGCACTCCAAACGCACCTCCTGCCTGCAGTGCGATCGTCCACACTGGAATGCGCGGTACTGCAATGCCGTGCGTTCCAGTGCATGCAGTTTTATTCTAAAGTAAACATTAGGTTTGTAGCACTGTGTATTTTATTTATGGTATTTAAATGTTATTTTTATCCAAAAAATAAAAATCGCCCAACTAACAGATTATGAAAATAATCGTTAGTTTTGGCCCTACAAAAAAAGTTCTTTATCGCAAGGCTGGCTGTACAGAATCACAAATCCTCTGGCAAGTAAAACAAATATATATGCTTCATGTATTTACACTGCAATTGACTGTAATTATATTTTATCTAAAAATTTAGGGCTGTGGAAATTAACGATGAATTTCTCGATTAATCGGTAATCTTTTTGATCGCCGGGAGTCCCGTCGGAGATCCGGTGACGTCACGGACATCGACGTCACCGGACTCCTCCCCCCTTCCCCAAGTGGCTCCGTCGGCTAACAAAGGGAAGGAGGGAGGAGCCAGGTGCCGTTGATGTCCGTGACGTCACCGGACTCCTCCTTCCTTCCCTTCGTTAGCAGACGGAGCCACTTGGGCCGGTGAGTTTGCCCAAGAAACTTGTTCTGCCCTATCAATTTTTAAATAGGTTATATTTACATGTAAAGGGAACATCACTGTGCAGCCTGCCAATTGACATCGAACCTTTCTTCTACAATCTTCCCAGCTGGTCAGTGTGCCCACAAGTGTGCACCAAACTCCAAGGCATTGGCCTATACACACACAGCACAGCAATGAAGTAATAAAATGAACTAGGATCACACAAATCCAGCACGTTGTTATTCTGAGTTGCCCCACTCAAGCGGCGGCCATATTGAGTGGGGCACGTGAGATTAATAACGTGCTGGATTAGTGTGATCCTAGTTCATTTTATTACTTCATTGCTGTGCTGTATGTGTGTAGGCCAATGTAGTTGGATCTGTATGCGCGTTATAATTAATCAAAATTAATCGATTAAAAAAAATTTCGATTAATCGAACACGAAAATCAGTAACAGCCCTATTAAAAATATTACAGATGCAGTATGAGGTTTATGTCAGTGGTACTCCACAATATCAGAGGATCCAGAGACTTAACAAAAAATAACTTTAATATGGCACGGGCAACATTTAAAAATACTGTATACATACATATATGCGCACACACACTTTGCAAACACTTTTTTTGTATTAAGTGTGAAAATATGTAAATATTTATACATACAAAATGTATATGTGAAAAAAATATATGTGACATCTGATTAAGAAGTCGCAATTCAACATTTAAAAAATAAGTTCAGGAGATTAATACGGTCAGAGATGTAAGTTTCACTCATTGGTGCCCCATTTGTTACTGCAGACACATGTTTCCACCCCTGCCAGTCACTGGCTTCACATTCTGCAAAGAGAACGAACCTGCAGATAACATGCAGTCAACCTGCAGTCAGCGGATTTGCACACAGGGGGCAGCAGTGAGTAGATCTAGGGTCAGAGAACATGAAGCCTGTTCATTCTGAATCTGTTTACTTCAGCAATACACAGTTACATGCAGCGAAGAAAAGCTGGATGACCAACATGCCGGGTGGCTTGTCCACTCCCTACTCACTCGCTGCAATCGGTTAGCCTGCCGGTATCAAAGTTTGTATTTATACTTCTTCATTATTTTCTTGGTCCTGCTTTGTAGTGCCATCTCCTACCAGCTCCTTCAGCCGTGCCAAGTGCTGCAGAGCTCTGGAACAAAACAACAAATATGTAAAATAATGATATTATACATAAATAGGAGCAATGATACAACAAATATGGTTTGGTTGTATATGAATAGGTGTTTATGGGGTCCCAGGAAGCAGTGGGCTTTTGGGACTATGTACCCAGGTACATGCTTCTACTAGAAGGTAGGTAATTACATAGTATTTGAGGTTGAATAAAGACATTAGTCCATCAAGTCCAACCTATTAGGATCTCATTCTAGGAGTACCCGTACCCCTGTATATTACGGTCCCTTAAGAAATCGTCCAAAAGTTTCTTGAACAATTCCACATTATTTGCTGCAATCACCGCCTGTGGCAGTGAGTTCCAGACCCTAACTGATCTTACTGTGAAGAACCCCCTTCGCCCCTTGTGCTGGAATTTTTTTTCCACCAATTTTAGGTGATGGCCTCTAGTTTTTGTAATGGAATTAATTTTAAACAGTTTAAAACAGTTGCTACCACCATTGAACATTTTGTACATGGAAATCATATCCCCCCTTAATCTCCTCACCTCCAATGTGAACATGTTTAAATTTAGTAGCCTCGTCTCGTAGCTCTGGTCCTCCATACCCCTAATTAGTTTGGTTGCCCTCCGCTGGACTTTTTCCAACTCAAGGACATCTTTTCTTAGTACTGGTGACCAGAACTGGTAATGAAGTGACTTTGGAAAAGCTTAGGAGGGAATTTTGCCTTTTGTATATTTTTGTAAAATTATCCAAGTTAATAAATGAGCAAATGACAGTACAACATTTCTCTGAATCCTTACTGGGGTACCATTACATCCAAGCCAATAAACACGCAGATGAACATCAATGTGACTAGATCAAAAATACTTCAATCTCTCTATAATACCAAGCATTTAAACCCATTCTATAGCCCGAGCGTCTGACCCCCATTCCATGGCCCGAGCGTCTGACCCCCATTCCATGGCCCGAGGGTCTGACCCCCATTCCATGGCCCGAGGGTCTGACCCCCATTCCATGGCACGAGGGTCTGACCCCCATTCCATGGCCCGAGGGTCTGACCCCCATTCCATGGCCCGAGGGTCTGACCCCCATTCCATGGCCCGAGGGTCTGACCCCCATTCCATGGCCCGAGGGTCTGACCCCCATTCCATGGCCCGAGGGTCTGACCTGTCAGAACTATCGGGCAGAAAGGAATCAATTTCATAGGCCTATACATGTTATTTTACAGATTTGTCTATGGGCATACTGGTAGCCATTTTGTCTGATTGTATCGGAGGTCAACTTGAGTTCATTCTTCTTGGAAAGAGACTTTCACAGAGAAGAAGTTAGGAATTTTAGCATAAACAGTCTCAGATGCACATCAGTTGAGGATGGGGCCAGCCTATGTAGGTCAAGATTGATGACTTTCTTGCCTCCACAAAAGACAATGTACAGAGACTGGAATGTCTAAAGATTTTTTTTCTCTCTCTCTCTCAATGAATAGAAGAAAGGGGCTTATTTAAAAGTTGCTTATGAAACCTTACTATTCATTGTAGTGATAATAACTAGCAATAATGTTATTATATTATTATATTATATGCAGCATCTGTATGCTTATGTTATTGACTAATTTCAAGTAAAATGTTATACATGTACTTTTATAATATCCAAACTATATTCATTATATATTGTTTGAGTGTACCCATTGGAATATATAAGTGTGTATTATTAATATGGGGTTCTTATATGTTAAGTGCAAAAAATTAGGTGGTACATGCCAATGCATATTTTCTTTTCTTATAATGTATGAAAAACCACTGGGTCTTGAAACTAATTACCTCACTTTCAAAGTATTTGGAGTATTGTTAAGTGTTCTGGCTTAGATTATGTTACGGTTGTAAATCGAAGAAGAGACGGCCAGTCGGACAAGAGGTTGTCATGAGATGTTATTCATGACTATCTTTATGGGTTGTCCATAGCATGTCCAAGTCAGAGGTTATCTTTCTACTCGATCTTTAGAAAATAGTAAAATTAAATGAAATGCTCCCAACTTTTATGTAGAATAGTACTGCCCCCTGGTGGTGATTGTGAGGTAAAGGTATCGGGTAAAATGATATATCTGACGTCATGGTTCACGTCAATAATCACATGGAAGACCAAACCAAGCCCACATTACAGGGGAGATATAGGGAGTGGCAGGAGCCAAAAGAGAGGGAGAAGCCAAATTCCAACTAAGACGATGTCGTAAGCAAATACATTCTAAGGGTATAGGTCAAAAGCTGAGGACGGCTGTCCAAGGAAACTGCACTAAAGAGAACCTGACCATCCTTTGTTTTCTGAACTGTGACCGCTGACTTCTTTCAGACAACTAATTTTAAATTGCTGGTAAAGTATACTTTCTATCTTTATATTAGGCAATTTATTAGTGTATGATCTCCAAGAAACTGATTTCAGTTTCTAGTCAATGGTCTAGTCTGATATATATTGAATTAAATTGATGGAAATGTTTCTTTACTTTGAAGAAACTTTACTTTGAATATAGTCTTGGCTTATAGCCAGCCCTGTGCATGATGGGACAAATCTTGCCCATGCGCTGTTAAAAGTTTGTGTTTGTGAATATCTTTTGCTGGGAGAAGTCAAATGTCAATTCTGAAGCTTTTGTTTTCTTATTCTGTGTGATACCGATATGATACCCATTACATTTAAAAAGTCGTTTTCTTCGTGTAAATTTTGATTTATGGAAATAAGTTGGGAATCTCCTTAAATATAGATCCTTATTTGTTTTCATAAACAGAAAACTGTATATCAGAGCAGTATAAACATAATGACAGACCCCCATTCCATGGCCCGAGGCCCTCTCTCCCTGTCCTAGAAGGTGGCAGACCGGCAAAACTGAGTACACACAGGATTTTTTTGTGTGAAGGTAAGATGGGAGTTCCGGTTAGCTGAATACCGGCTAACAGAGTTTACTGTAGTTAAGGTACTTAAAGGCCTTTTTAAGACTTAACTCCTGAGTTTAGTGTCACTTTAAGTATACATGTAAGTAAAACAGCACCAACCATGCACCTGATTTTTTTCCTATACGGTTTGAAATCAGTGATGGTTCTACATGGCATTGTGTTTTGTTGGATCGGATTTATTGAGCCAGAACCTACTTTTGAAGAGACTTATTCACAGGAAACACCTCTTGGTCCACACGCTCTAGCTCCGATTCTGCTTCAGTGTAAACCTAAAAAAGACAGAAAACAATAAAAATGTGTCATTTAATAAACATTACACCGTGCACTATGCATTTATCTGAAATACAGGGATGTGCAAGGAGACAAGAACGAATCTCTCTTCACTGCAGGACGGTACTGAACTGGATGGACTTTATTTGGTGCCTCTGCATGATAGGACAGTAAGCAATGCACACTTGTTGCTTAAAAGGAGAACTATGGGGTCAGGGCTTTTCCCCATAGTTCTCCTTAGGGTAACGGGAGGACACAAACTAGCGTCCTCCTGTCACCCTAAGCTACAGCTCGCGGTATACTGAGACGCCGCAGCCGATCGATGTCGAGATCCGCTCAGCTGCGTGAGTGACAGCTGGCTCTAAATATCTAGAGGCAGAGCCAGCTGTACCCGCCCCCTCCCATTCCGCCAGTCAGCGCTGGCGGATCGTAGTGGGGAGGGGGGAATCCATCCCCTCCCCTGTCACGGCAGAGAGCCGTGACAGGATCGAGAAGTGAGCGAACACCGGCATGTGTTCGCTCACCTCCCGATCTACTGAGCCGACCTGTGACAGTCTCATTGTCACAGGTCGGCTAGAACTAGGAGGTGAGTGAAAAGCACTCACCTCATAGTTCTCCTTTAATTTTGATGACAGGTTCACTTTAAAAGTTACCTGCTACCCAGAGGAACCATTTTCAATGGCACAGGCTACAGACTATCAACTCACAAGAAATGACAAATCATGATGAAGTGCAAAGCTTAGTAATATCTATCAACCAATCACACTTCCCCCTTCGTCATATCACTTCCAAGATTTCCTATTGGCTGCAATGATTTACTGCATTACTACTAGTCAGTCCTGTGTCATTGATGTGGAGTAGGCCTACTTAAATATTTAGGACAAAATATTAGTGGAAAGTAATATTAAAAGTGAGATTAATAGTAATATTAAATCTGACCTCCGGCCTTCCCTTCAGCCTTGCACAGTTGTACCGGCTCCTCTGTGGGACTGAAATTACTTCCTCTGATTTCACTGCACACTGGGAGCTTCTCATAATGTGCATTAGAAGCTGCAGCAAGTCAGATAAAACCCGCCTCATTTCCTGGCTAGAGGAAGCCGGCTCCGTGCTACTGGAAGAAGGGGCATCACACCACCGTGACGTCACGCGCGCCCATCCTGGTGATAGACACTGGCAGAGGTGGGGACGTTCACCCGGCAGGATAAGGTATGCCGCCGGGTCCTCTCCTCTCTTGTGTAACAGTTGGGCTCTCGGTCTATGCCCGAGTGCCTGACCTTTCAGAGGGGGTGACACCAAAATGACTGTCAGTCATTTTGGCGTCACCCTATCCGGTCACCGGGTGCAGGCCGTACTCCCCTAGTGACGCCACTCCGTATTAGTGGCTACTGAAATATAAACATCGGTACTCGTACTCTATACCGAAAAAACCTGCATCGGTGCATCCCTAAAATTAAATAAAAGCTTTATTAAAAGGAGAACTATGGGGTTAGGGCTTTTCCCCATAGTTCTCCTAAGTGTAACGGGAGGACACAAACTAGCGTCCTCCCGTTACCCAAAGCTCAGTATACCGCGAGCTACAGCCGCAGCTGGGACTGATCCCGACAATTATGTCTGGATCCACCCAGCTGCGTGAGTGACAGCTGGCTCTGCCTATCTAGAGGCAGAGCCAGCTGTACCCGCCCCCTCCCCCGTCCGTTCCGCCAGTCAGCGCTGGAGGATCGGAGCGGGGAGGGGGGAATCCAGTCCCTCGCCTGTCACGGCTCTCTGCCAGCACAGGATCGAGAAGTGAGCGAGCGCTGGTATGTGTTCGCTCAACTACCGATCTACCGAGTCGACCTGTGACAGTTTCATTGTCACAGGTCGGCTCAGATTATGAGGCTGAGTGAAAATCACTCACCTCATAGTTCTCCTTTAATAGGTTGATGAGGGAGGAACCAGGGAAGCCACTATATAAGAAGATTAGGCTGACCATGCTCAATAAGGCTTTGACAAATAATACTCACTTTCTGGAACTCCTCCACCTTCTCATACGATTGGTCCTGGGTATAGTTTTGCTGGAAGGCCTGAAGATTGAACAGCATGTGCTTCAGAGCCTCTACTGGACCATGATGATTTCCACCCGAGAATGAACTTGCCTGGAAAATAACACAGAAAGACTTGATAGGCAATTGGATATAATCTTCCATACATAGCTCCAGTGCTGAAATGTGACTTCTTATCACCTGCCAGCCTCTGCATGAATGCCGGGTCACCTTCCCTAAAGGTAAGTCCTGTTCTAACAGCTTGCTCTGCAATGTAAAAGCTGCTCCCGGATACCACTAGAAGGTGCTCTGCGGAGATCTCCTCTGCACTGGGAAGAATGAACAGTCCTTATCCCGAGAGCAGCTTGTTGCTGATGAAAATTCAGCTTGGGGGCAGACTCTGCTGTCTAAACATGACAACTTCTTTTACTAGTTCACAGTGACATCTAGGATGTATAAAGGTGTACAAAATGAAGGTATGCTTGGCCTCTGACAGATTGGCAGGAGTGAATAAAAGGCGGCCATGTGTGTTAGCAGCTTATATGTAGATATCAGTCCAGTTCCACCATTAGGAAACACAGAAATGTTTCAGTTTAGATTGCACAGGCAAAACAAGTCTTTTTAAAGTGGTTTTGAACAGATTAGGGGAAGGATTAGAACCTCTGTCTTTATTGCCGTCTGTATCCCTGTTGTGTTTCCTCACTTCCTGATGGTGAGAAAACTGGGGAAGGATATCTCCCCAGCTATGACAATCTGACAGAGGTTCTGTTATAGAACCTCCAGGATCCATGTATGCACAGCCAGGAGCATGAACCGTCCTGATAGTCTGCCACGTGTCACACATACGCCTGCTCATGCTCTTTTGGCTGTGGTTGGTTGTGCTCATAAACACTTGAGTTAGCTTGTGTTGGTGCAAGCATTAGAGTGTGCTCACTGGCATGGAGGGTATTTCAATTCTTTCCATTCTGGTGGCTGGCACGGTGACGTCTTGCCAGCTACCCTAATGTCAAAAATTAGAATACTGAATACTGTTGCCTAATCCAATTGGCTATTCTTCTATTTGCCTAAATTTAATGTGAACCCGCTCGGAGAATTAACAATAAAAAACAAAAATCAAAGAAAGCTCCAGTATAAAATGGTGAGTAACACCAATAGAAACAAAAAGGATCAACAAAACACTGCGCTTAAATGTGAACGGATTGATATATTAATAACAGCAGGAAAAACAGTGTGCCCCCTGCCACAACCTTTGCCTGGACCCGACTTTCTCGTCTGCCGCAACCTTTGCCTGGACCCGACTTTCTCGTCTGCCGCAACCTTTGCCTGGACCCGACTTTCTCGTCTGCCGCAACCTTTGCCTGGACCCGACTTTCTCGTCTGCCGCAACCTTTGCCTGGACCCGACTTTCTCGTCTGCCGCAACCTTTGCCTGGACCCGACTTTCTCGTCTGCCGCAACCTTTGCCTGGACCCGACTTTCTCGTCTGCCGCAACCTTTGCCTGGACCCGACTTTCTCGTCTGCCGCAACCTTTGCCTGGACCCGACTTTCTCGTCTGCCGCAACCTTTGCCTGGACCCGACTTTCTCGTCTGCCGCAACCTTTGCCTGGACCCGACTTTCTCGTCTGCCGCAACCTTTGCCTGGACCCGACTTTCTCGTCTGCCGCAACCTTTGCCTGGACCCGACTTTCTCGTCTGCCGCACCCTTTGCCGGGACCTGACTACTTTCTCGTCTGCCGCCTGCCACCTTTGCCTTGGACTACTTTCTTGTCTGCCACAACCTTTGCCTGGACCTGACTACTTTCTCGTCTGCAGCCTGCCACCTTTGCCTTGGACTACTTTCTCGTCTGCCGCAACCTTTGCCTGGACCTGACTACTTTCTTGTCTTTCGCTTGCCATGACTTATGCCTGGACCGGACTATTTTCTTGCTCACCAACTTTAGAACAGTCTCCACACTGTAGCCTTTCTATTCCTGCTGACTGCATTGGAGGGGCGATCCTGAGTGCTGCAACCTGGAGCCTTTCTGCAGCACAGAAAATGGAAACCAATATGGTACCTGGCTGATCTCCACCAATAGAAGTTTTGCTGAAGATCAAGTGTCACTTAGACTCTGTGTCTCAGGGGAGCCCACGTCACGTCTGCCAGGAGAGCACCATAAGGCCCCCTTGACACCAAGGCGGCATCGTTTGCCACATTTTTGAGTGCGTGAAAACATGTGCAATGAGACCGTGCGTTTTGACTGGCAGCTCAAGAAACAATGCAGTCAACGGATGAACGCACGCACAAACGAGCAAAAAATGTGCAACTTGCTTTTGCAGCGCGTTTCCACTGAAGTCTATGGGGGGGAAAAAACGAGTCTTTAACTGCCAAAAAAAGCTTATGTACTTTTTTTCTGCATTTGGCGTTTTGCTGCTTAGGTGTAAACAGGGGCCATTGAAAATTAATGGGATTTCTTGTGTTGGGCGTTTTAAAGCGCTTTTCTACTGTATCCAAAACAAATATTGGTTGATAAAAGTATAACTGTTTCTAATTGCTGATCATGTAGAACAAAGAAGAACCATCAAGAGTTCAGTCTGGAATCATCTTCACAAACAAATTTCACCAATAAAAATAAAGAAATCTCAAAACATACATTATCCTCTTTCACTTTGTGCTCAAGAAGATCTTCCCCAAGATGTGACGTTAAGGTAGCCGCAGATCCTTCACCGATCTCATCCTTGATTGGTATGGGGACGGGAGATTTGCTATAATCAAAAAAAATAATAATAAAAGTTCATCCCAGACTGACAAACAATGTCACAATTCTGACGGCGAGAAGCTGTAGACGCATGCTCCATCTTGTTTTATTTTATTTATATCAACATCTCCCTCAGTCCCCATAAACTGCATGACATGCCCGTGAGCCCACAAGACAGAACGTGCAACCAATCGATAATACAAAAATCACCTGCACTCCATACAGCGTATAGACCTTGAGTAAGAGGTTGGTGCTTGAAGTGACAACACAGATGGCGCCGTGTCAGATACAGTCCATAATAGAAGTCACCAGCACTCAATGATATGTGCAAGAAGTAAAGCACTTTTTATTCAATCGTCACATGCGTCAAACAGCCAACATTTCGGGTCCCCTTTTCCCGAAGAAGGGACCCTGCGTGGCCACGAAACGGGGCATTTGAGAGCCCCCTTACATTAGGTGTCCCCATCAGAGAGCCCCCTTACATTAGGCGTCCCCATCAGAGAGCTCCCTTACGTTAGGCGTCCCCATCAGAGAGCTCCCTTACGTTAGGCGTCCCCATCAGAGAGCCTCCATACATTAGGTGTCCCCATCAGAGAGCTCCCTTACGTTAGGCGTTCCCATCAGAGAGCTCCCTTACATTAGGTGTCCCCATCAGAGAGCCCCCTTACATTAGGTGTCCCCATCAGAGAGCCCCCTTACATTAGGCGTCCCCATCAGAGAGCCCCCTTACATTAGGCGTCCCCATTAGAGAGCTCCCTTACATTAGGTGTCCCCATCACAGTGAAATTCTGTATCCTAGATCATTTTATACCTAAATAGATGACAAAATGCCTTACAATGAATATGGGATTTTTTCCCAGGACCTCTCTGCCTCCAGCACATCTTCTGTTCGGGGGCTTCCATTATTCTCTGGAAGCTCAGGGAGCACCTTCTGTGAGGACTCGATGGCTTCTGATTTCCGTAAAGGTAAATCATTAGGGCGATCTAAGAACAAAGCAATCAGGCATGTTACACAGAAGAGTTTACTTAAGAAAATGTCTCAGGAAGCCTCAAATATTTCCTGAGGGTGAGCTCAGGAAGAGGGATGGCGTTATGCTTACTTTTAAGTGGTGTATGCAAATGTTTTAGTACATCCAAATCAGAAAGACCCGAATAGAATTTTCCACCACCGCTGCCAGAATTAACCATTTCTTTGCCATGTCTATCATAAAACAGAGGGTGTAAAGAACCCAAAGATGAGTAGCCGTGTAGATTCCTTACGGGTTCATGAGCGACAGGGGCTTTTAAGGAGTTTTCAATGTTTCTGGTTCTGTGGCTATTGGCATTTCCAAGAAGACCGTAGTCTTTTATCCATATGGGATACCCCACTTCTGGAATACTGGTGATTCCCGACACACCTAATTCCGATTTTTGGCTAGTCAGCCATCTTGGATAACTTTTATGTCCTTCAGATCCTCTCAACAAATAAGGAGAGTTCAGGTTATTGCAATAAGCAGGATGGTTTTCCCTGCCCATTCCAAGAAGACTGTTTGTTCTGTTCTCCTTAAGGTCATCTTCAAGATTCCGTAGATCCAAAGACTGGGAATTGTGATGTAAGGAGTGAAGGTTTGTCCTCGTCTTTAATGAGGACATTAGAGGAGAAGACCGAGTACTGTGGTATGGAAGGGAATGTCCATAGTGATTATTCAGGTTTTTGCAATGTTTCTGATCTAAGACTTGAGAGAACCGTAGTGAACCATCAGAGGGGAAGCCCAAGAGATCATCAGTGGTGAGGCTCAACAGATCTGGGTCACGGGCAATGCATCGTCTTCTAGATGAATGCTTGGGTCGAACATTTGTATCGGCTACACCTAAGGGGGGAAAAAAAACTGCATGAAATGTTACTTATAAGCAGCAAAGCACTATTGCGTATATACGTGTATATGCTCGCACTATATTCAATCCCAGAATGCATCATTCGTAATAGAAACTTTAATGTACTGTACACGCGTAAACATGTGTATGCTCATAAAATACGCAGAAATACGTTGCTCGGACTCATCTCGGGTCCATTCTGTTTTTGCGCATCTTTACGGCTCCATACGCAGCTATGTGTATGGAGCTATTTATTTGCATATGCTGCATATGGGACAATACGCACGTACATGCATATACGCAGCGTATTGTACGGCAGTGTGAATGAGTTACAGGTCAATCAGCGGCCTACCTCGCTAATCTCCTTGTATGGTTACTCACTTTTGGTGGACAGCCTGTTTGTGGCAGTATTAACATTATTTACTAGTATCGGTGCATCCCTACCTAAAAGTATTATATATAGATACAGTATGGTAAGTGAGCATTGTCGCCCTAGAACAGGAACTGTGCTACTGGCCAGATCTCCAGGTGGAAATAAAGGGAAAAACTAGGGATGTCCCGATACCACTTTTTTAAGACCAAGTACTGTCCCTCATGTACTTGCCGATACCAATTACTGATACTTTTTCTTAAAGGGATATGTGACATTTTTTTCTAAAACAACACAGACTGATGATTTGAGGTCAGTTTCTCACCAGGGCTAAATACGGATGTCACCAGAACTGAATATATGTCCCCACAGCAGAATTCCTCTCACCAGGCTGTGTCTCGATCTCACTCGGGCGACGTGGACATCTGTAGTGGCTGTGCGGGCACTCCACCACGTCCAGACTGGCGATGCTGCCACGCCCAGAATGGCCGGCTATCTGCGCTGCTCAGCCCCGCGACTTTCATCCATCTCCCAGCCCAGTCCTCCCAGTCAGTGTGCGGCGGGAACCCCCAGCTTCTAGCCCTGGGGCGGTAGTTACGCCCCCGGGGCTGTCCATGGCTGTGCCTGCGCCGGGGAGGAGGAGGAGATAAAGAACAGGCACTGCCATGGACAGCTATTTGCAGTTCCCCAGCAGGCTGCCAAGGTCCCCACGAGCACGGCCGCTGTTTGAAAATTTAAAGGGCCGGTATCGGCCTTAAGAAACCGGGCATTTTCACGAGTACAAGTACTCATGAAAATGCCTGGTATCGGCCCCCGACGCGGATACTAGTATCGTTATCAGGACATCCCTAGGAAAACCATTATAAAAAAAACTAATGCAGCCACTACATCTAAAGACCAATGAGATGCAATACATTACAATTTTGTTCTTGGGTTTAGAGTTTAAGCAATACACTTTATTGGCGAACTTAAGTTCGGGATGCCTTGGATCCGTTTCTTAGGTGAAATGTAGAAAGCCCGATGAAAGGATTTAAGTAATCCTGAAAGCTTGCATCTTAAATTATTTGAAGCCCATCTCCAGGTAAACCAAAACACTACCCTTGTAGTGGGGCTACCAAACTCCTAAAAACTAAGAGGTTCCAATACCATGAACTCGGATACAGCGTACCTTTTTTCTTAGCCGGTGAATGAATGGTGATCTTTCCTGTACTGGCCATGGAAGACTGCAGAGTTTCTTCATGGTCATCAATATAGGCCTCTAGCGCTTTCGTAGCAGAGTCATACAACTTATTCTTGTATTCTATAGACCTGGAGGAACTTGAGGACCCCTTACTGCTACCCAGACTGCAACTGGCCAGGAGGGAGGAGATGGATATGGAGGAGTCGGGAGAGCCGGCCATTTTCCCACACTCACTTCAGCCTCCTATCTGCGGTCTAGCTGTAAGATAAGAACATACATTTATTAAGGTATATGTGTAAATGAAATCAGATTGATGCAAATAAGGCGATGAATGTGCTTTACATAGACACGGTACAGAAATGTGAACTACTACAGGTCTTCAGGAAATGCCATGAACCTCTGAGGCTCTGCCCATACTGCCTGCCTTCAGTATACAGCCACCCGAACACTTGTATGTAAACAGCCATCGCCGGCTGTTTAAATTACAGTCGCCAGTCGTTTTAAAACACCCACCCGCATTTAAGAAGCCACAGTCTGGCCATTTAGTTACAACAGCCAGATGAAAAGTGGCTAAACCCACGTGCCCAGGGCCGGATTTCCCACAAGGCCAACCAAGGCCCGACCTTGGGGAAGCAGGGAGTAGAGGGGCAGCAGGGGTGTGGAATTCCAATCTCCTTATGCCCGGGACATGCAGTTCCGGGTGGGTAGTTGTTTTCTACATTTAGCCCCGCTTTGGGCAAGCAGAGCTAAATGTACAGCGCAGTAGGAGGGCCCTGCCCCTGAGGGCTTACAATCTAAAGGGAGGGGGAAGTCTTAAGGGATTGCCTAAAGGCAGTCAGAGTAGGAGATAGTCGGACAGGTTGGGGTAAGGAGTTTCAAAGAATGGGGGAGACTCTAAAGAAGTCCTGGGAGGTGAGCATGCTGGGATGGAAGCCAGTGCAGGGATTGGCAGACGGGGGTTGCAGACACTGAGCAGTTGGTTAGGTGGATGAGCCTAGTAGCAGCATTCATGATAGACTGAAAGGGAAGGGGCCTGTGTAGAGGCCGGCCAATGAGGGAGTTGCAATAGTCAAGACGAGAGATAACAAGAGAGTGGATGAGCAGCTTTGTGGTTTCAATGGTGAGGAAGGGGCGTATTTTGGAGATGTTACAAAGGTGAAGGCGGCAGGATTTGGATAGTGATTGGATGTGGGCAAGAAAGGTGAGGTCCGAGTCAAGGATGACACCGAGCACCTTGGCATGGGGGGAGGGTTGGATAGTTGTGTTCTCAATCAAGATCGAAAAGTTGGGGGAAGGGTGCGCGAGGGTATAGCCACTGTTCAAACAATTTTTTCAAAAAAACTCCACTTGGATTCATTTGTAGATACTTCCCTAGTAAGATTAGAGCCTCTCCGGTGTTTTCATATTGCATCTATACCACAGATCTTTAATCCCCAGGGTCTCGGTTGTGAAATATTTTAAAATGTCTTGATAAACATTTTTTATATTATTACCATGCTCCTCCAACCTCTTTTTTTAATTCTCTGGTCGTTCTGGCCACATATTGTAACCCACAGGGGCATTCCAGGAGGTAGGCAACATAACGAATGTGGCACGAAATACATTTGTTTTATTTCTATTGGATTCACTGATCCATTGAAGGAGAATTTATTCACTTATGTTAATTTAGCCTTTTATCCTGCACATTTTTCCACAACGTTACCTTTTATCACACGTTAGTGTGAGGAAGGTCTATCACTTTTATGAATTGATTTTAATTGATTGATTACACTTTGATGCACCTATTTATATACTTTATCTTTATTAATTATTTATCTTGTATTGATTGACTCACTACTTATTTTCACATTAATTCGATTTACCCACCACACCCATTTGATCATTGTTCACATGAATACCTAAGAGTAGAGGTGCACTGAAATGAAGTTTTAAAAACCGAAATGTAAAAAATTAATTTAACTTTTTCAAATATTTTAATTTTTTATAAACTTACATTTTTTTATATTTATTCTGTTAAAATAGAAAAAAAGATTAAGGACACAGAGTCCTCAATCTCTTTTTCTGCAGCCCCTGTTATCAATGAACAGGAATCCTCTAAACTGAGTGTTCCTGCTCATTCATAACATGAATGTAACCACAATCATGAATGAACAGGAGGGGATGTAGATCACTTCCCATTCATTCATAACTGAGGATATAGTAACCATCCTCTGTCCTCAATTATGTACAAACACTCCGCGATCACTGACTGCTTGTACCCGCTCTCCAACCTGACACGCTTTCACAGGAGGCCGAGCGAGCGGTGCGGGAGGAGAGCCCAGCCTCCTGTGACAGAGCTGGCTGTCACCGCCCACACACCGCTCTCCCCTGATCTGTGACAGGAGGCTGAGCGGTGTGGGAGGAGAGATGCCGGCCGCTCACAGCGCTCGGCTGCTTGTGACAGTTTCTCTCCTCCATGCTAGGACACAGAGCAGCGCCCAGCGGGGAGGAGAGAAAGAATGGATGCACCGATGTATCGGGCAGAAAATGGCACTTTCGGTATTATGCCAAAAGTGCCATTTCCGGCCGATATGTTTTGGCGGCCGATATATCTGTGCATCCCTACCCAAGAGTATATATTTATTTATATTAGCGCTGTGCAGTGTTACATTAGATTGTTTGGGGCCTTTGGCTTTTTCGGCATAGCGGCTTTTAACTTTATCTACTTATTTATCTTCCTGAGCGCAGATTCATTCTATTTATTCTTCATATAGCCACTGTTACTTGCATTCCTGTATGCTCACGTCCTTTGCCACCATTTACTATTTATCAGAGGATCAATTTGATCCATTGACTAGCCATTCCTCGGTTTTTTTATGGCAGCTTTGTTTGCTAGTGGGGTCAATATGAAGCCACGTGCACGCTCCCCTGCCAAACACTTCACAGACATGCACAGGCGGCAGCTCAAGATGATGTGATCTGTCCACCTCCCCACCTACCTGACAAACTTCATGCCACTGCTTTGTCGAGAATACCGACTCAGTCGAATTTGCCAACCTGACCATGTTCGCTTGCGCACAAACCGGGACTAACGAGGAAACAAGCATTTATTTACAAATAATTTTATCTTATTCGGTAATTATTTGCCATCCATGGCAGTAAATGATGGATGGAATTTTACGCACATTCACAATTAACATTGTAAGCAATTACATTATTATATTAATCGTGAATGTGCGTAAAATTCCATCCATCATTTACTGCCAAGGATGGCAAATAATTACCAAATAAGACAAAATTCTTTGTAAAGAAATGCTTGTTTCCTCGTTAGTCCCGGTTTGTGCGCAAGCTAACCTTGACTAGGCGTCACCACACACCACCCTGCAGCCTCCTGGGATGAGTGACGTTGTGAAGCATTCAATGAGGCTTTGGGGTGCTCTATGTTGCATGTGCCACTGCCAATCATCAGAAGGCCGGTGTTCTATCAAAGATTGGGACGTGGTCACACATTTTAACACAATCACGCCCACTTTTTCGGCAGTGGAATATGTGACCGGCAAAAGGAGAAGAATTCCACCACTTTCTCAGCTGTTCCAGGGCAGATCGGCATCGCATATCGTATGTGCAGGAGAACCGATCTGTCCTGGAACAGCTGATCGGTCCTGAAATGTCACTTCTATCCGACTTGGTGAGTGGGATCTGACATTCCACAATGTCACATTTCAGGACCGATCAGCTGTTCCAGGGCAGATCGGTTCTCCTGCACATACGATATGCGATGCCGATCTGCCCTGGAACAGCTGAGAAAGTGGTGGAATACTTCTCCTTTTGCTTGTCATATATTCCACCGCCGAAAAAGTGGGCGTGATTATGTTAAAATGTGTGACCGGTCACACATTCCACCGCCGAAAAACTGGGCGGGATTAGGTTAAAATGTGTGACCACGGATCATACGATTAATATGGGGATTTGTATGGGACGGCTTTTTTGTTAATCAGGTGGCGAGTCATTACACGCCACCTGGCTCCCTGAATGGGACTTCCGGTACTCTGTAATTGGTATCGGCGAGTACCGAAAAAAAAGTATCGTTACTCGGTACCAAAATAACGGTATCGGTGCATCCCTAGCAGTCACAATCTTTGATAGAACACCGGCTGTAAGATACCCCAAAGAGACAGCGAGAGACGAAAAGAAGATGGTGACGCAGGACAACACTGGAGTCCCTGGACACGTGGGCTTAGTGGTTAGCACTTGTAACTTGCAGCACTGGGGGTCCCTGAGTTGTATCCTAGCCAGGTCACTCTCTGCATGGAGTTTGCATGTTGTCACCGTGTTTGGGTGGGATTCCTCTGGGTACTCCGGTTACCTCCCACACTCCAAAAGGCATGCTGGTAGTGTAATTGGCTCCTGTCTTAAAGGTGCCCATACACTGCACAATTCTCGTACGAGAATGGCGGGAAATCCCACGAACATACGAGAATCGTGCAGTGTATGAAGGCGTGCGACCGTTTCTAATGTACGGTTGCACGACTTTGTATTTCGAGCATGTTGGAAAACCTGCCGAGAATCGTACGATTTCCGGCTGGTTTTTAACATGATCGAGGGATGACTGCCGAACGGGCCGCTGTGTACAACCCCTCCGCAGCGCTGTTCCCGAGCTCCACTGTGCCCTGGGCGGGCCGGGACCGGCACGGCAGCTCTGTGACAGGGAATCAGAGGGAGATCTGCACACAACTCCCTCCGGTGTCAGAATGCAGGAAGTGATGTATATTACATCACTTCCACATTCTGCTGTCACTCTCCAGCTTCAGAAGCTGGTGAAGCAGATCTCTGCTTCATCAGCTTCTTTGGGGGGCCCTAGGTGACATTAGGGGTCCTAAAGACCCCTGATGTCTCCATAAAGAGGACCTGTCAGATCATCTTTGCTATCACATAGGGGCCTTCTTATCCCCCTATGCGATACCAATAAAGTTAAGTGGAAAAAAAAAAAGTTCCACACCCCCAAAAAAAAAAAAAAAAAAAAAATGCCATTAATCACTGATAACACTAAACTGATGAGCAGTAAAAGGTTTTAAAGCGTCGCCTAGGTCCAATTTTGGGTATGGTATTTTTTTGCAATTTCGCGGACGTGCGCAATTTTAAAGCTTGACATGTTTGGCGTCTATTTACCAGACGTGGCCCCGTGTTTTATATTTTACCAAAAATATGGGTAAGAATAAATGGCTTTAACATAAAGTAGGGA